CATGGTTGCAAGGCAACCTGAACAGCGCACGACCGTTCCATTTCATAAGCCTATCACTTCCGCACTTCTCATACTTATAGTACGCACCGTACGTAGTACGCGTAGTGCGCGCACTTCAAGCGTGCAGACCCTGAATTGGGACACAACCCTTAAAGACATGTTGAGAAGATAATTTATCCATTTAAATCAGCTGTGATGGATCAAGGACACATCTAAAACCTGCAGGGACACCGGCCCTTGTGGACTGGGATTGGGGACCCCTGACCTAAAGAATAGCACAACATCATCCAGTTATTTGTGATGGCAAATCCACAAACTGATTACTTTACAATCCTTATCTTAGGTTTTTGAAATTACATGTCCCATTTTCTATCTATCTATCTAATCTAATCTAATCTTTTTTTAAATAAATGTATGTTTGTTTGTTTTTATCCCATTTTCTGAAGTAACTTTTTACTTTGTTACCTATTTTTTTAGTGGTAACTTGCTGATTTATTTGGGACTGAAGTTGATTGAGTAATCAATTTTTCATGAAGTAGAAAAGCAAGTTGCACATGAATACAGCACGCTGCACTATTTACTTATTTGTTACATTTTTAAATCCTCCCCAATTTCTCATGTGAGATGATGAATGAATATAAATCCTTGGAAATACACAGACTGCAAATCACACTTACGCATGAATAATCCTTTCATTGTTTTTTCTATAGTGATTCATTACTTTGGAGATTGGCCTGTAAGTGGGGCTATTCTTCGATGGTCTATTAGGATTGTGAGTAATTATCCCTTGGTTCCTCAGTTTCTTACAGACAGAGAGAGAACTCCCGGGAACCACATGACGTAAATCAAACCCCCAGCAGAATAATAGCCAACAAGCTACATCTGAAAACGAAGCCCTCACCACCATAAGGGAGCACTTTAGGAGAGAATATTAGCTTAGTCACACAATAGTATTACTGGGCTCATTAACCACAGTTATGCAAGGGATGTTCAGTATGTATTTCCTATTAATCATTTCAAAAGTAATAGTTCGGTGAGCACAAGTTTCTTACATTACTCATTACAGTGCATCACTAGCCAAATGTTGGTAATAAACACTTGTCTGATTCCAAAATATATTAGCTCTACCTGGACTGTTTTTACAGTGCAACAGTGATCTGGTGCTGGTGGTGATACATTTTTGAGTCCTTGTTGTGTAGTGTTTGAGAGACTGACAGTCGAGGCAATACCTTATAAAAGAGTTCATCTATGTCATCTCAAAGAGAAGATGGCAGAGATAATACATAAAGTTCCATTTTATTGAAATGCATCCACAGGTATTGTTCAAAAACACATGAAGCTAAGTCAAAGATTTGTAAAACATCAGTCATGGTTACAGCTAAAAATAAAACTGCTGTTAGAACAAAACAGTGTCAGGAATGACAGGAAATCTTACCACTCAGTTTGTCCTTAGATTATCATCAACCCCACACCCAATGCTCTCCTTTGCACTGCAAAAGGGTCAAAATGGTGTGAATGGGACATCCGTCCCATCCAATTGTTACACTTCTCTCTCCTCTATGAACAGGCTTTACAAATAAAATCTATAATAGACAAATTTGTCTGCTCCATGTTCAGAAATTGTCAGAGCTCTGTTACCACTATGTTCTATAAGTATGTTTTACAATCTCCTCAGATTTTGACAGATGAATTATTATGCAAGTGATGACTCACACAATGAAATAATGATCAGATAGGTAAAAACATTAATTAATTAATTTGTAGAAACGCAATTAATTTTGACTAAGAGGATATACATGACCAAGAATGTTCAAACTGTATACAACTGACACAACTTTGACACAACAACGTCATTTGTTTTTACTGAGAGTCCTTGTGTAACTGTCTCCCTTTTTTTCTTTTACCCTTTCCCTTACAGTGATGTACAATAGCAGAAGGTTCCTTGGTAGAAAACTAATAGGACTACAGCGTTAGAGACACTCTCATTTAGTCAAATTGTTAATATAAAAAAAAGTCACCCACCCTGGTTTACACAATGTCAAAAAACTTGTCATTTTGGTAATTGCCACCATTTATTCCACAAAATAAAAGCTTGATTTTGACACATGAATTAGAGGCTTTCGGTGAGGTACAACCCATCACTGGTTAACAAAAGTGGTCAGACAAAAAGTGCCAAAGCAATTGTTAAAACAGTAAAACAAGTTTTGAAAGTTTTAGTTTATGCTGTGATCATTTTTTCTGTTTAGTTTTACTAACAGCTCAGATAGTAGAAAATGTCATCCTGTATGAGAAAAAATATAAGCTACAGGGAAATTGTAACTTTGAACTTTGGTGCCCGCATAACATGAGCAACACTGAATGCATAAACATGCTCTGTCTATTAAACAATGCTTTGTTACAGATTTATGTGTAACTAAATATATATTTATATATATATATTTATTTATTTAGTCCTAACCCACCCACGTCCATGCTGATTTAATCTGTAGAAGTTTTTTTTTTATTGTATTTAATTAAAAATATAAATGAGCAAACGTTTACTAGAAATATAGCTGAAAACATGAAGCCTATAGAAAGGTAAGACATTACTGACTGTACATCTGAACATATACAAACAAATACACAAAATAATGTTTCCTTTCTTTGGCCGCATGTCTTAGGATACATTCTTTGTGTATTAGTAGATGATAATTTCTTTCTTTCGTTTATGACCTTTGTGTTTTCTACTAAAATCTTTTGTGTTTACATCTTTAATAAAATACATTTAGAAAAGAAAACTATATTAATTTATACCAGCAGAGAAGTTCTAACCAAGTAAATGCAACACCATGATATAGAGCACATTATGACAAGCCAGACAGCTACACATCTTGCTTGACTATCTATATTTTTATTGCTGCCAAACCTCCAGTCCACATAGACAGTCCTGAATTTGGAGTCGTTTGTTGTCTTATGATCTGCCAAATGAGAGCTGGAGCATTTTAGCCTGCAGCAAACTAATACTAATAAAACTAGCTATTACCCCATGTGATCCATAAATCAGTGTTAAAGCTTTAAACAGAATTGTGTTTATCAACTGCTGTGAAATGCAGACTTGAATTATTTACCTTGCATCACCGCATCATGTGGAGGTGTTTCAGTCTTTGGGTCTAAATTAGACAGATTTAAATGGTGGTCAGGCTCAGAAACTTTAGTTAAACATCTTGGCCTTGCAATATTGGTCATTTTTTCTAATGGGTTAGATGTTTAGAAGGTGCTCTATGAAGGAATTAGTCTTTAATTGGTCAATGAGTTAGCTTAGCCTCTTTTCTTTCCTGACTGATTTTGGGTTTTTTTAACAGTTAGGAACATTGATTGATTGTGAAATTACACTAAGACTTGCGACAGCTCATTTCAAAATGAGCAAATGTTTCGTCCTCAGCAGCTGCTTGTGAAACCACTTATCCTTGTTCTGATTCGCTGTGCCTGTTTCAATTGATTTTGATCTTGCATTTACATGAATGATGCCTTATTAGACTTAGACGAGTGGTATTGATTGGTCGTGCAATTGAAGCCTTCTCCCTTTTAATACTGCCTGTTTTTCATTTCCCACAAATACTAATCCTACTGATAGGGATTAATACATATCAATAACACAGTGCCCATCCCTTGTTCATGCATTGTTGCAAAAAAGAAAAAAAAAATGTTAGCAACTGTGATGGAAGTGTGATGCATTGGCTTGGTTTTTGAGCTTGGTTTCTTATGTGTGAAAGCTTGCAGCTTTTTAGACATAACAGTCTGTCACTTCATCTTGGAAAAAAAATAATCCTTAGATTAGAGTTACAAAAGTCTCACTGGAAAAGTTGCTGAAGCTACAGCATGACTACCTATATAAGTCTCTGTTGTGTTATACATTTATTAAACATCATTTACTTGATCATAATTTGCATACTGTGATAAAAGAAGAAGCACGGTCCAGACCAAATCGAAATAACAATTAAGCTTCATTTTATTAAAGCAATAGTGTATAACAGTACTTAACCAAGGCACTTTAACAAATCGTCAGGTAATTGCGAGCAGCACTGGTGAAAAGCAACACTTCAAGTCACAGTGCAAAAAGGCAGGTGAGAGAGAGGTCAAGTAAAAACCATCGATTAACACGCTTGTGGACATCACAGTGAGGGTAAGCTGCACATGTAAGGGCACAGCCCAGATAATAAAAGCCAGCTCCTGGTTGAGCAGATATTAGATGATAAGACAGGTGAATTGTTCTGAGTGACGCCAGAGGCCCCTCGCAAGCAAAACAATTCTTTCAAGTCCACAGCCCTCTCAACCCCCAAAAGAGTTCAGGATGTACTTCACACACCATTACGCTCAAAAACAAGATGGCAACCAAGCGTGCAACCTGTCAATTTTGCCCACTCACTCATCCAGGTATTGTAGAAAACGGCAGCTTGCTTTATTTCTGTTTTTTTATTTCTTTAAATAGAAATTGTTATAATTTGTGCATTTTTAGAGCAAAACTGTACAGGATCTATACAATGGCTTGGGCTTTTTACATTTTTCAAATCTGCATAATGAGGAAGTGGAAGATTTTTGCCTATTTTTATACATCAGAAGCGTATAACTCTTGTGTGATGTTCTTTTGGCCAGTTTGGGGTGGTAGCGGTAGTGGGGGGTATCTTGTGGTAGCTAAAAAGCTTTGAAGTCCTGTTATATGAGGAGCCAAAGCCTAGAGGGTGGGTAATTACACACAGATTCCTGCAGTGCTCCACGTGATCTCAAAAAGCTTGTACTCCACTGCCCTCATGAACACACACATCAACTCAAAGTGAAAGGAACTGGCAGATTCTTTGAAAAGCACAAAAACAATTAATCCTACTTCCAAAAACACCATGCTTATACACAAAAGTTTAGCTCTGTATTTACTACAGTGATGGCACAGAGCTGACTCAGACTCCAGTAATAAAACTCCATCCATGCATCTTTCTAACATCCAGTTTCTGCCCTTACCACTCTAGTGAAATTCCTGGGTCACAAAGTCTACAGCTATGGCCAGCTTCTCTTCATCACCTTTGCCTCTGAGACCCCCGAGCTGCTGCCCGACCACATCGTCCTGGTCCTCGAGGGCTCTGGAATCACTCTGTCTGCTGACCTTTCATCCCAACCAGTGCTTGGTTATCACCCTGGCCTCACACCACGGCACTCTTTCACCATCAGGTACAAGACAGCACTGAGAGGTTTCATAATTTTTGAGTGTTTGAATGTGTTCTAGTTTTTGTCCCTCTAGAAAATATCAAAGTCTTAGCTTATATGTTGATATGTTTGTTTTGCTTTGAATCTGTGCATCTCCCTGTCGCCTGAGTCACAAGAGTATATCCTATTCAGTACCGATTACAGCTCACCCACGTTGACTTTGCTGTCACCGTCCCAGCAGAGTGTCAGGATATGAACGCGGTGATGAGCCAGCTCCCTCATGCGCTGGCTGTCATGTAGATCTGGCACACGTTGCATTTCCATTTTTACATTTTATACATATAGCAGATGGTCTTACCTGCAGTGACATGTAATATGTGGAGCAGAGAAAATGCATCCAAAATTCACAAAAGTGATACTGATAGTAATTCTATTGGGGTCAAAAGTGTTATTTTGGTCTAAAATCATTGGAAATAGATCAAAGAGTTAAACAATTAAAAACTATAAAGTAAGGCAGAATCTTGTGGAAAAAGGGGACGTTAGTCCACAAAAATAGAAAAGCCTTGAGAATTTATCGAGTGGAAAGAGAGGGCATATGAGGTATTTCTTTAATAGAAGAAACTTGTAAAAGTCGGATGTTCTGGCTGGAGTAGGGAGGTCACTCCACTATTAAGCTCGACGAGGCAGAGAAGGGGGGTCGGGCTGGAAGGATGACCAGGTCGTAGCATGGAAAGGAGAGCTAAGTGGATTATAGCGACAGCTTGCAGAGCACTGGATGGAGTGTAGGGTGTGTCTATAGCCTGGAGGTAGAGCGTGTATGCAGACAGTAGTGGTCCCTTTGCAGCCTCACGTGCCAACACCAAGGCTTGAAATTAGATACAGGCTTCCACACACAGCTAGTGGATGAAAAACATTATTGATTTCCATGAAGAAAATTGGTCTGTTGAAAGAGCAAATAAAAACAGTATATGAAAATGGTCACATAAATATCAGAGACGTAAACCTAAGTGAAACCTAAACACTGTAGCTCAGGTGCTTGGATTGATCCCTGAGTCCTCCGTTCATGTGAAGGACTGGTATACTGGTATACATCCTTCTTTTTTTCCTTTTTTTGCCACATATTGATACTGTTTGAATAGAAAATAGAAGTGCTGTATGAATGTGTGCGATTGGATGAAAAAGACTTGTGATGGAAGGCAGTTTGAGTGCTCAAATTGAGTAGAAAAGCATTATATAAGCATCAGATGATTTACAATTTCCACAGTATTTGGATATGAGCAAGTGATGATCCAAGAACAGAAAAAACGTATATTTTCACAAGCTGTAAAGTAAGGCTTGAGTCATGATACTGAAGCCTGCCACCGTAATGACTTAACAGTAGAAGTAAATCTCATAAACTGAAGTAAGAAACCATCTTGAAATTGTGTGGAAGTAGTTTAAAGCATTTGTCTCCACTCATACATGCATTTATATTGTACTGTCTTGACTCCTTTTTGAAGGGAGCCTCTTATGCTTTCTTCCAGCTATATACATTTATCCTGGGACTCCACTTCTTTCCACTTGAAACTTCACCAATGAAGTAAATTTCACATCACTATTAGTCACTTTTATCCATCCATCCATCCATCCATCACTTATCTGGGTATGGGTCAGCAGAGACACCTAGACCTCCAAGGTGTTTGCAAGTCAGCCGGAGATGTAGACTCTCCAGTGTGCTCTGGATTGTCCTGTGGCCTCCTCTTGGTAGAATGTACTTGGAAAACTTTGCCTTTCAGGGGGCATCCCAGTAAAATGCAGAACCAGCTAAACTGGCTTTGATGAGGGTCAGAGTGTAGACTTACTGGTAGTGGTGCAACGGCTCACGGTTGATCCGTAATCTGAACCGATTCTACTCCACGGTTTGGCACGCACGTGATCCGAAGATTCGAAAAAGAAGGAAAAAAGTATGTGTATGATGCGCGCGGTCAGTCTGTCAAGCAATAGTTATGGCTGGCGCTGGCGGTCCAAGTGGAGGAGCAGAGGAGTTTGCGGCATTTAAGCAGCCCTTTGCTGCCCAGTCCGACCGGGCTAAAGCTATTACAAAAGCTACTGGGGTGTTTAGCTGCAGACGGGAGGCCGTATTCCGTTGTGCAAAACAAGGGGTTTAAACTATGATGAACGTGCTTGAGCCACGCTATGATATCCCGTTGCACGTCCACTTCAGTGACAAGATCGTTCCAAGCATGTATGAGCAGGAAAAGTTGTGGCTGAACTGTCCCAGGCATCTTCTGTTGCCCAACTACAAATGGGTGGACCTCCAGGGCAACGGAAAGCTACGTGACCGTGACCGCTCATTATATCACAGCGGAGTGTTAGATACAAAGCCCTGTACTGCCCTATATTGCCCTTAATTTCTTTTTATTTAATTGCGTGGAATGAGTCTTGACTTGAATGTCTTTAATAGGCAAAAAATACTTAAATAAGTTAATAAGTAAATGTTAAAATTCTTTCTTCTTTTGCTGATCCGAAAGTTGATCCGATCCGTGACTTAAAACCGTGATCCTATCCGAACCGTGAGATTTTGTTGCACCACTACTTACTGGTAAACTGGCAGCTTTGCTTTCACACTTAGCTGTCTCTTCATCACAGCAGACTTGTACAGAATCCCCATGACTTCAGGTGCTATGCCTAACCTCCAACACCTGTAGCAGCAAATTGTTCACAACCCAAAGTGAGCACTCCACTTTTTTCCAAGCTGAAAAACAGGACTCAGAGATGTTAATTCTCATCCCAGCCACTGGAGTGTTGCATATATCCAGTGCAAACTGGAGGTTATTGCTCAATGAACCCAAAGAATCACAACCACACCCAAAGGAACATACTCCAGGTCCATAAATCACATGTAGACTAGCTGGCAAGCTATCACAAATCCTTGAATATTCTTAAAGGGATAATGAGCTGGTCCAGCATTCCAGGACCAGAATGAAAATTGCATTGTTTTTCCTGGATCCAAAGTTTGACTATTGGAAGCACTCTTATCTCCAGTACGCTGGCATAGACTTTCCAGCATGTGATGTTCTGAGGAGTGGCTGAGGAGTGCGATGTTCCTGAAGCTGGAATCTATCCTCTGGTTCCTTTTTTTTTCAGCTCCAAAGCATGTTAAGCCTTAATGAAGTCAAGGAAGATCTCATCCACCAGAGGTTACTTGCAACCATTAATCAATTTCAGACTTCTAAAATAGTCTTGTAAAAAACATAAACTAATTTAAATACTTAAAAGAATTATAAAGAACACATTACAAGCATTCCCTTCACAGAAAACCATTTTGTCCAATGAAGTACAAAGATTTCAGTGAAATGTTACTTGCAGCTTGCAGTTCCAACTCTTTAACATTTCCCTTTATAGATGGAACAGCTTTGTCTTTTAGCACGAGCCTATCTAAAGCTACAGCTTTTTCAGGAGGGGCTGTGCTGCTCTCTGGCAGGAAGCACCTCCTGTGTTTTAAAGTGTTTTAAATGCACTTTAGAACAGCAGGCAGTAACACTACATATGAGCAGGCAGAGGGAGGTTTGGGGTCTTCACTCACCCCCGTTCTGTTAACCGTTGGGGCTGGGAGGAGGTGCTGGGGTCTGGGATCAAATCAAATAAATACATAATTATAATAAAGGTCAATCATATGCACCAATATGGCAAGACCATGATGATCCACTTGGTAAAGTAAATCTGCTTGGCATCTTTCTTGGCCTTCAGACAACAATTCTGATGGCTAAAGATCCAAATGGGACAGGCAAAAAAAAAAAGAAGGAAAATAAACTGATAGTTCCACAAATTTGTTTTAGCAATACTACACATAATACCAAAAATATTCATGCCAATTACTACCAAATACTGCACTTTGTCAGCTCAAGACAGATGTGAAAACTGACAGTGGACTTTCCTAATAACAATAAAAATAAAACACATCAGTTAACACATTAATTGATTGTACATTTGCAGTGACATAACAATCTGATTGTGAATTAGCAGGAGACACAACAGACAAACAAACGCACAAAAAATAAATAAAAATCTTTTCATTTTCATTTTCTTCTTTACTAGTTTCAATGCCTATACAGACAGCAAACAAAAAAAATTGTCTCACAATTTAAAGACATGTGGGCATGAACACAGATTAAACTGTATAGGCTCTGGATTCACATTCAGCAGCTACGCTATGGTCTGGGTCAGGCAGGCTCCTGAGAAGGGACAGGAAAGGATTGGTTTACAGGGGGTCTTACCTTCTACTCCAGACATGATTCCAGCACTAAATTCTATCTACAGATGAACAGTTTGAAGACCGCGGGAGAGTGAAGATGTAACGTATCCTATCAGTTATAGCCAAACAAATTGCAATATCGGCTGGATGACAGAGACCAGGAAGAGGTGTGAAGTGGAATGGGTGTATGGGCACAGGCAGTCTTCCAAAACTTCATTTTGTTTGTTTTTCAAGTGTTAATATTAATTTTTGATATGAATGAATATTAATATTTTGTTAAAAGATACAAAAGCCCTTTACTGACAAAGCACTGTTTCCAAGAACCATATGACAACATACACACACACTGCAATATAAACGGGTCTGTGAGGCCCAACATATAGTATGCTCACACTCACACATGTGTTTGAAGCTGAAAACTATGGAAAAATTCACAAGACCATAATGTAACACTAAGCTTTTCTTACTGTCTGTATTGTGATTAAAATGTCTCATTTAAATTTCAAACAAAAAAAAAGAAAGAAAAAAAAAAGCTACAGCTTCATTATGGGCTCTGTTGATGAAAGAGTCCTCTGTGAAGTGGAAGAAACAAAACTGTTGGCTTTTGGCTGTTGTTGGTCATTTCTGTAGTACTTTCTTTGAAAAAGTCAAACAAATATAGCTATTCTAAACAACCAAAACAAGTGGAAATCCTATTTGCAGTGTACTCCAGAGCACAGCAGTGGAAAATATTTTTCAAGTTTCAAGCTCTCAGACCCAAAGCTCTTTCTGTGTCTGTGTTTACCATGCA